CTTGAAAGAAGGAGCTTGCTGACTAATAAGCAATCACTTATAAAACATAAACAGAAATTCTACAACTCTTAGAGGTATTTTGTCTTCTCAAGCAGGTCACTGGCACTCATTTCAAGGGACCCCAGAGACATGTCTAAAGTTTCCTTGGGAATCAAATGGCTGATAGGCAAGAAGAGCAGCCCCACAACCCCTAAAGATCTTAGCCTTTATCCTCATTTCCTGAGGAAGCATCTCGTCCTTCCTCAAAGGATGCAGTGACAAACTATAAAAATGTTACATGGAAACAGTCCCTAGAATTACCACAGGACTAAGAAGAACACTATTCCTACGAAGCTCTGGATGATCTGAGGCTCCTCTTCGGAAAAGAAGACTCCAGTATTGCTCTGGGAGCAAATAAGTAGAGTCATGAGTGACCCTAATTCATCACAGCTTATGTGAGCACCTGTATTGAGGTTTCCATTTTTAATTAAGGCCTGTAGGTGGGTACTCTTGCTAAGTGTACAGCTCTTAGGCTTTTAATAACTTATCTGCCCTCCCACTTTGACATACATTGTCATCCACAAGTCACATCAAAATATGTCTTTCTCCTCATATTTGGGCTTATAGAACAGTTTCCTTCTCCCACTGAACAGACAGCTCAACAGTGTTTTCTCATTGTCTTCTGGCAGGTTTATTTCCTTCAACCCAGCCAGGAAGCCACAACATCCCAACGTAGTTGAGAGCACATAATCCCCAGTATGTAGGGCCTATAGCTGCTTTCAGGCAGAATAAGCTATAGAAGACAGAGGCTTCCACTGTCTCAGCACCCTTAAGGAACTATGGGGGAAAAAAAGAATTATGGGTATTTGTATTTCTCATGGGAAAATGAGACAGGAAGTTAGGGTGTGGCAAAACTGACTGGAGAAGTAGGTGCTGCCTGTTAATTACCAAATCCCAGGACACATACAGAGGACAGTTCCCAAAGCCCTGCATGTGGACTTTTTATGGGAACTCAAGCGGGTTTTTAATAAGATGGCCTAGACTGGTCATTAACCTGAGGAGCAGATTTTATAAAGAGAACAGGCCATGGTGAAGTTTGCCTTTGTGTTTTGTTTTGCATGATGGCCCACCACGTCATAGTGTGTACTTCTTTTCCTACTTCTTACTTTGTAAAAAGGAAACAAAAAGTTGTAACTACCATAATTGTACTTCTAAGAAGATTGCAACTTTGGCAGCCGAGTCAGAGTCACCCAAGGTGATCCGTACCAGAATTCGCTTAGTGAAATTATGCTCCACAGGCTTGAAACCACAGAGAAATTTCTGTTTTCTTTGTTTTTATTGTTCATTTGCTTTTTCTTCTTGCTAATTTGTTTTTGCTTTTTTCACAAGTGTAGACATTATAGGGTTTTTGGATATAAAATTGTTTGTTAAAATTACCTCTACATAACACAAAAGTATAAATAAAAACAAATGCACAGTTTTATAAAATGAATGATGTAAACCAGAATGCTCATGGCAGCTGGTTGCCTCAGGAGTTCTAGCTCCTAATATGTAATAATTACTTGTTGTTCTTGGATAAGCATTGAATTAGAATGAATTCATCTATTTTCTACTTTGTTGTAATGAGATCATATAACTTTCATAGTGGAAAAGTGTAAGTACTGTATAAAACAAATTAAGACTAATTGCGATCTTTAAAAATCAGTCTTAAAATATTAATACAGATTTCAAACCAAAAACAGTGACATGGGGGAAGGGGCATTAATATTGCTCATAGAATGACATAAAATAATAATAAATCATGATTTATCAATAATAAATCATGGTTATAAACAGGAAGACCATGCCATTTGAACCAATGGAATTTGAAGCTATTACCAAAAATGGAATTATTTTTGATGCAGAACGGTAAGGCTTACCTATAGCACTCCAGCTTTTCTGGCCACTCTGAACCTTCTAAGTGGTTGGGCGTTCGCTATTTCTTTCTCCACCTTCACCTTTTGAGTTTTATCCATAAGATCTTTGCATTTGAATTTTCTATGCAACAACAGTTTCTCCTCTCCTTAATCAGCTGTGTCAGCCAGTTACGTTGCTTTTGTTTTTCTTTATCTATCCACTTGGGTCAAGTTTGGTGGGTAACTATCTTCACTTTTTCCTTCTCCGAGGTCTCTATCGTGGATCTGTTAAACAATCTAAATTAGTTTTCAAGGCTGCTTGCAGGTGGCAACGTCAAACCGTTCGATTTCTTTTTGCGTGTCAAACAGAATGCATGCTTATTCTGTTGCTTTCCCTGAATATCCAGCAGATGGCGCTCTGAGATTTTCTTAGCTTCTGCAACCATTTTCATTTCTATGTATCTGACATCTTGAGTCCTCATTAGCTGTCCTAGAGTTAATTCTTCTTTAGTTTCCTTAGTAATGTGAACTCCAACCTGGATCTTTAGCCAAATCATTTTGTAATAGAATTCATTTGGATTTTTTTTCAAGAGGCTTCTTTCAAAGATCATTGAAGAATTCTTGTTTTTCATGACAGTCATCTGCATGAAGTTTGTAATCTTTCTTTACTTCCAATAGGCCAGGGCTTTCTGAAAGCCAGGCTGGCTTCACTTTTGTTGTTCTTGCTGCCAGCACACAGTTGCCTTGTGAAAAGCTGCCACCACTTTCTGCCCACTGAGTCCTACAGCAGCTCAACAAAGAACTCACCGCTGGTTAGGACCAGGGTTAGGGATGGGGTCAGGGTTTGGCTTTGTTCTGCTTTGTTCTTGTTTTTGATTTTTCCTTTTTTTCTTTTCCTTCTCTCTTTTTCCCCGGTTTCCCAAACCTTGGGTAATCTTCCTTTGTCCTTTAGTGTTGTTTCTAATCTCTATTTTATCTCAAAATTGATAAACAGGATATTCTATGATAAATGAAGATGACAATTTCATGAAAAACTGCTACACATCACCATTCATTTGCATTATTTGAAAAATACAATCAAAACACATTGAAGTTCCATCTCACTCCAGAAAGAATGGCTACTGTGAAGAAATCAACCACTGACACATGTTGGCAAGGCTCTGGGGGGAAAAGAGCTCCTCTCCATTGCTGGTGAGAGTATAGATCGGTACATCCACTATGGAAATCAGTATGGAGAGTTTCAAAGTATTTAAACTAAAGGTTCTATTTGAGCTATTCCCCTTCTAGTTATCTTCCTGAAAGAGTAAAAGCATCACATCACAGTCATGTGTTCATAGTCATGTTTATAGCAACAGAGTTTATAACAGCTAAATCTTGGAAACAGCCTATACACCCATTGAAAGGTAGACAGATAAAGAAAATGTGGTATTTATATGCAATGGAATGCTACTCTGCCAAGAAAAGAGATAAACTTGAATCATTTGTAGGAAACTGGGTGGATCTTGAGACCATAATCTTTTATTTTTTGGTATTATGAGTCAAATTCAGGACCTTGTGCTTTCCAGACAGGTGCTGTGCTGCTGAGATAAACCCCCAGCCCAGAGACCATAATCTTAAGTGAAATAAATTGGACACATACGTTTAACTAATGCATCATTTCTTTTGTGTGAGGAAAACAAAGTGTAAATAAGGGGCCTAGTGGAGGATAGATGCTGACAAGAAGGAAGAACATGTTCAAGTAAGAAGTGCAACAAGAGAGCAGGGAGGAGCGAGGGAGGGATGGAGAGGAAGAGGAAGAGAATGGAGGGAAAACAGAGTCAAATGGGAACAAATGTAAATGAGAGGGAAGAAGGATTGAAGGGGGGAATGGGGAAAAGATTCAGATATGTTATGTACAAATACAAATTCCCTTTGATGAATGTGATCAACATATACTACAAATATGTACTATTAAAAAATATAGTTTAAAAAAAGGTGTTATGCACATGTACCAATTTCCTACAAGGAATGTGGTAATTACATACTGCAAACATACACTAATAAAAAAAGTTGAAAGGAAAATCCTACAGTGAGCTCCAAGCTGTCAACCTTTGGCTAGATTCTCTGGCTGTCCAGGAGTGGGCGGCATTTACTATTCTTCTGCCTGAGTCCACGGGTGGCCATCACTATGATGCCTAGTAAATCCCTGATGTAATAAATAAGTAAACTCGTTTATTTCATGCTGTCAGTTTCTCTAGTGAACCCTAACTGACAGAATATCCGTCCCTCACTACCTACTTCTGCACCGCTTACACCTTCTTTATCTAATAATAGTGTGTCTTCTTCTAATTGACTCAGAAAAACAAGTATCACGTTCCCCCCTAATATGTGGAATCTTTCTTTCTTTCTTTTTTTTTTTATCGGTACCAGGGATCAAACTCGCGACTGCGCACTTGCAAGGCAGGCGCTTTACCCCTGAGCTAAATCTGCAGCTCCAATATGTGCAATCTTAAAAAGAGAAAATAAATTGTGGCACTGTTTCTAAATGAGGTCAACTCGTTAACCTTGGCTACACTTGAGTCACCTGGGGACCCGAGTTCCAACTGGTCTGGGATGAAACCTCGGTTGTAAGAGGCTGTAGGAGGCAGAGACCAGGATTTGGAATTGGATCGAGATTTCAACTTCAGTCCCCAACATCCGGCTTTTATGACTCCTGGAAAATTGCCATACTTCTCAGGAACCTCAGTTTCTTCTTTGGTGAGATGGGGACAGTAATACATTCACATTAAAGTTGCTTAAACAGTGCAAGTGTGACAACCCTACCCCAGTACTTAGCATACAAGAGGTGCTTAGAAAAAAATACGCATTGTCTAATAAAAGGGCACATAAATAAATGACACTTCTTGTTTTTTCCTTGCCCCTGCGGCCAATCTCAGACAAGATACTGTCCACATATCCAACTCTGCTCACCCCACATCAGCCGCCTACAGTGAGAGGCCCTCAGCAAGGCCTGTCCCCACCAACAGTTCTATAATGTGCCAGGAGTTCAAATGCTGTACGTATCATGGTTGTTGGGATAAACAAACCATTCTGAGGTCACAGATCTGACGAATAGCACACAAACCTCCACAGGACAGGAAAATGTTTTAAACTGTGGAGCTCTACATGAATTTCTGTGTCATCCTTGCACAGTGGCCAAGCTACTCCTCTCTGTATCAGTCCAATTTTAGTACACGTGCTGATTATGATGAGGCCCACAGGAGGGCAGGTGTCTGAGAAGGTAGGTGAACAATCCAGGTTGCTGGCTGCAGTTCCAGGTCACTAGTCTTGGAGCCAAGATGGAAGCTGATTGTTCTTCCTTCCACAAACCAAGTTAAGAAGCTTCTGGAGACAATGTCTGCACAGTCCTGCACTTTGATAGAGACCTGTTTTTTCAACGTTCCTGAACTGAGGTTCTGTCTAAAAAAACAAAAAACAAACAAAACAAAAAACCACACAGGCATCCAGACATCTCTACAAGAGTTGAATTTTCCAAGGTGAAATGCCTGTGGCTGAAGGTGAAGGTTGTACTTCTCCATGCTACCACAAGGAGGCAGTAGAGCCCTTCTTAAGAGTGACTTTTAGGGCTCACCACTTCTGGTTCCAAAGAGAATCACCCCACCACGAGCTTGAGGGGCCAATGAGAAAGTAAAGTGCAAGTTACAATGGGAGAACTTTTTCCACAGTCTAAACCCTGTTGAGGCTCTCAAGGAAGCAAGGCAAGTTTAAGATCCCATTGAAAAAGTCTATACTCCATTTAGAAGGGAAGTTGTGGCCCTTCTGGGGAACCAGAGGGCAGACCCGAGCTGGTGATGCTACGAGAAATGCTACTTGTATTTTTAGTGAATAGACAACACACTGGGAAAGCAGTCAAGAGACAAGTGAACTACAACTACATATGATTTAAAATAAGTTGCATTGCCCTGTGGCATTCAAAACAGTCCAGCACCACAAGCAATGTAATATACAACACTGAATTTCTTGGGGCAGATAATATGACTCCATTTTACAGAGAAGGAAGCTGGATCAGAGAAGACTGTGCTCCAGAATCCTCATGGCTTACACTCCAAGCGCAGTGCCGGTGGCTTGATAACCAGTGTAGCTTGGCTTCCCTTTCTCTCTGTCCCTCTTCCACTGTTCTTGATGAGCTCTTCTTCTTCCTGTGAACTCCAAATGAGGCCCGGCCTGGGATTTAGATCTTGCAACCTGCCTGAAAAGTATGACCTTTAAATTTTCAGTCTTCCCCAAAGACAAAGGCTTGAACTCTATCCTAGGTTTGTGCTCTGCAACTTAATTGGCTGTTGTGGGTTAAATTTTGACATCTCATAAAGAACCCAGAGAGGCCTAACTTCTAATACTTCTGAATGTGGCCTTATTTGTAGATGGGCTTTTTTTTTTGTACCAGGGATCAAATTCATGATCTTGTGCTTTCCAGGCAAGCATTTATGCTGCTGAGCTAAATCCCCACCCCTAGACAGGCTTCTAGACAGAGGAATCAAGTTAGGGTGAAGTTATTAGGGTGAACCCTGCTGTTACATGACACGTTGCTTATTAAGGGGAGAAGGGGTCAGTGACGAGAAAATAATGCAATGACAGGGACAAGTCAACACCTCTCATTAATAACGCTCTGTATGAATGGCCTCAGCTCCTTGGTCAAAAGACATAGATTAGCAGGCTGGTTTTTAAAAACCAGTGGTATCCTGTGTATAAGAAACACACTTAATCCAAGAAGACATCCATAAACTAAAAATCAAAGAATGGAAAGCAACATTTCATGCAATGGTAGCCAAACAAAGTCGGAGTAGCGAGCCTATTTTCTGTCAAAGTTGACTTCAAACCAAACTGATCAGAAGAGGCAAGGAGAATCACTATTTGTTAAGGGAACATTTTAACAGGATGAGATAACAGTTGTATACATATGTGCACCAAGTCCTAGAGAGCTGAACATCATAAAACAAATACTACATGCCACAAAGTCAGATAAATACAAACACAATTATAGTGGGATATATCTTTTAAAACTTTTTTTATTTTAAAGAGATTAAGACAAAAGAGGACAGAACAAAGCAGATAAGAACAGAACAATTTAGCCAACACAGTATTTCACCACAAGACAACCCAATATAGAAACAGCTACCATGTCTCTTTTTGAAATAGTTGAGCATACCTTCATATACAATAGTATCAAACATAACAAAATAGTACAAAACCATTCAAGAGAATGAAAGTATTCATTCATATAGTATGGCTACTATATTGTCTCATTTTCCATAAAATATTTGTTTATACTATCACACATAATAAAATCCAATAAGATACAACATGATAGAACCAATGGAAACAGAAGAACAAAAGCATGGTAGGACTTCAAATCAAGATGGTATTAAATCATCACTGGCTATTATAATGTCCTATTTTCTTCAAAATAGGTGTTCATACCATCACAGACAATAAAATCAAACAAACCAGGATAAAATCATTCCAACTAATGAATGAAAATATGATAGAGCCTCAAAGCAATGTAAGGGGGAATCAAGATTACCATATACTCATAAGTACTCTTACCATTTCTTACACCAGGGAGACTGTGGTTTCATGCATGTGAGTTTGTTTTCTTTCACTTATGAGTATGGTCTCAAGTTGCTTGCATTTATTTATAAATATCTCAATGTGATCCTTCTTTATAGATGAGTAGTACTCCATTGAATAAAAATACCACAACTCTTTTATCCATTCCTCAGTTGATGGACACTTGGGTTGTTTCCAAGATCTGGTTATTAAAAATTGTGCTGCTATAAACATGGGTGCACATATATCACTGTGGTATGATGTTTTCAGTTCTTCTGGGTATACGCCCAGAAGTGGAATAGCTGTGTCAAATGGGACATCCAATCCCAGGCTTTTGAGAAATGACCTCCACAATGGTTGCACCAGTCTACACTCCCACCAACAGTGCACGAGAGTTCCTTTTTCCCCACAGCCTCTCCAGCATTTGCTGTAGGTAGTTTTCTTGATTCTGGCAATTCTTTCAGGAGTAAGATGGAATCTCAGTGTGCTTTTAATTGGCATTTTTCTAATGAGTAATGATGATGAACATTTTTGCATATATTTATTTGCCATTTGTATTTCTTCATCTGAGAACTGTGTATTCATCTCAGATGCCCATTTTTGGATGGGGTCTTTGAATTTTGGGGGTCTGATTTTTTTAAATTATTTATATGTTTTAGACAGAAGTCCTTTGTCTGAGGGGCAGTTCACTAAGATTTTTTTCCCAGTTTGTGAGTTTTCTTTTCACTGTGCTGGAGAATTCTTTTGACATGCAGAAAACTTTTTAATAAGATGTGATCCCAGTTATTGATTCTGGGAAGTATTTCCTGTGTGGTTTGATTCCTGTTCATAAATTCTCTACCTACCCCTATGTCTTCAAGATTTTACCTACTTTGTCTTCCAACAGATTTAGTGTTTCTGTTTTAGTATTGAGATCTTTGATCCATTTAGATTTTAGTTTAGAACATGGGGATAGGCAAAGGTCTAATTTTAGTTTTTGGCGTATGGAGAGCCAGTTTTTCCAGCATCGTTTATTAAAGAGATTATCATTCTTCCAGTGAACATTTGGCCCCTTTATCAAAGATAAGGTGGTTGAATGTGTTTGTAGTTGTTATATCTTCTAGTCTATTCCATTGACCTTCAGATCTGTTTTTATTCCAGTACCATGTTGATTTTATTACAGTAGATTTGTAGTATAACTTCAAGTCAGGGATTGAGATGCGTCCTGCCTTGTGTTTGCTGCTTAGGATTGCCTTTGCTATTCTAGGTCTCTTCTGGTTCCAGATGAATTTTAGAAATGACTTCTCCAAACCTATGAATTATATTGATGGTATTTTCATTGGGATTGCATTGAATCTGTTATAACAGTTTTGAGAAAATGGCTATTTTCACAATTTTTATTCTTCCTATCCATGAACAAGGGATGTCTTTCCATTTTCTGAGATCATCTTCAATTTCTTTTTCAGGGTATTGTAATTTTCCCTGTATAGATCTTTTACTTCGTTCATGAGATTAATTCCTAAGTATTTCATTTTTTTGGATGCTACTGAGAAGGGTGTGGCTTCTCTTATTTCTCTCTCAGTGATTTTGTTGTTAGTGTATAGAAATGCTATTTATCTTTGAGTATAGATTTTGTATCTAGCTACATTGCTGAATTTATTTATTATACCTAGGAGTCTTCCAATGGAGTTTTGGGGGTCTTCTATGTAGAGTATCATATCCTCTGCAAATAATGATAATTTAACTTCCTCTATTCCTATCTTTACTCCTTTTATTTCTCTCTGTCGTCTAATTGTTCTGTCTAGTAATTCTAGTACTATGTTGAATAGAAGCAGTGATAAGGGTCATCCTTGTCTTATGCCTGAATTTAAGGTAAAGGCCTTCAGTTTTTGGCCATTTAACATGATGCTGGCTGTTGGTTTGTCATAGATGGCCTTTATTATACTGAGGTAAAGACCATCTATTCCAATTTTCTGTAAGGTTCTTATCATGAATGAATGTTGGACCTTATCAAAAGCTTTTTCTGCATCTATAGAAACCATTATGTGATTTTTAGTTTTGGCTTTATTGATATGGTACATTACATTAATTGATTTTCATGTGTTGAATGATCCCTGCATGCCTGGGATGAATCTCACTTGGTCGTGGTGTATAATCTTCTTGATGATTTGCTGCATCCTGTTTGCCAATACTTTATTGAGGATTTTTGCATCTGTGTTCATTAGGGAGATTGGCCTGTAGTTCTGTTTTTCAGTTGGGTCTTTCTCAGGTTTTGGAACTAGAGTAATATTTGCTTCCAGGAATGACTTAGGAAGAATCGCTTCCCTTTCAATTTCATTGAGTTTAAGGAGTACTGGCATTAAGCCTTCTTGCAGAATTTCTCAGTGAATCTGTATGGGCCTGGGCTTTTCTTTGCAGGTAAGGACTTAATTACATTTTCAATTTCATTAATAGAAATTGGGTTATACAGCAGTTTTACATCTTCTTGACTCAGCTTTGATACTTCATATGTTTTTGGACATCTGTCCGTTTCGTCTGTGTTATTGAAACTATGAGAGTGGAGGTTTTTGAAATAGGTGTTGATGATTGTCTGTATTTCCACAGAGACTGTAGTGATTTCACCTTTTTCATTCCCTATTGCATGATTTGAGCTTTTTCTTCCCTTTTTTAAA